AAGAGCACACACCTGTTTTGTGCATCCGGGTCTCTTTCTTCCTGCTACCTCCATGTTTGGGGGACCTGTGGTGTTCCATGTTTGAGGTGATGGCGTTCCATGTTTGAGGTGATGACATTCAGTGTTTGAGGGGCCGGTGGCATTCCATGTTTGATGGGCTGGTGGTGTTCCATGTTCAAGGTGATGGTGTTCAGTGTTTGAGGGCCAGTAGCTTTCCATGTTTGAGGAACCGATAGTGTTCCATGTTGAAGTGGTAGCATTCCATGTGTGGGGTTTGATAGCGTTCCATGTTTGAGGGGCTGGTGGTGTTCCATGTTTGATGTGACGGCGTTCCAAGTTTAAGAGGCTGGTGGTGTTCCATGCTTGAGGTTAAGACATTCCATGTTTGAGGGGCCAGTGATGTTCCATATTTGAGGGTCGGTGGCGTTCCATGTTTGAGGTGGTGGCGTTCCGTGTTTGAGGTGGTGGCGTTCCGTGTTTGAGAGGCCGATACTGCTCCATGTTTGAGGGACCCGTAGCGTTCCATGTTTGGGATCCAATAGTGTTCCATGTTTGGGGTCCGATAGTGTTGCATGTTTGAGGTGACGGCATTCAATGTTTGAGGGGCCGATGGCATTCCATGTTTGAGAGGCTGGTGGTGTTCCATGTTTGAGAAGCTGGTAGTGTTCCATGTTTGAGGCGATGGCATTCAATGTTTGAGGGGCCGATGGCATTCCATATTTGAAGGGCTGGTGGCGTTCCATGTTTGAGGTGGTGGCATTCCATGATTCAGGGGCCAATAGTGTTCAGTGTTTGAGGGTCGGTGACGTTCCATGTTTGAGGTGGTGGCGTTCCATGTTTGAGGGACGGTGACGTTCCATATTTGGGGTCCGATAGTGTTCCATGTTCGAGGGGCTGGTGGCGTTTTATGTTTGAGAGGCCAATGACGTTCACGGACACAGAGATCACATGATGAGCTCCTGACGACAGAGCAGCCCTCAGGCCCCACAGGAAGTCTGTTTTACAGCAGGGGCAGTGCAGGTCACATGTTCACCAGACCGCAGCCATCTGGACATGGCCAACAGCGTGTGCCCAGGTCCACAGGCTGCACTGGTCAGTGGAGGACTGTCAAAACACATGAAAACAAGCACAAGATACAATAAATTATTTTTTGTCCTACTGTTGTATATGACTTCTGTGTTTTGCATTTTGGTCCTATAGATAGTTTATTTAGTTGTTTACTTGAAGGAGGATTTAAGGACAGGGCATGTTCTGGGACTTGTTTTCAGTGAATGTTTGATTTATTTCTGTTTCCCTGTTGGATTTTCTAACTTTCTGTTGGTTAAATTGATGTTCTTGTTAAAACCTAAGAGGCAACTGTTGTGATTTTGGACAAAAATGATTTAAATACAATTTTGACTGTGGTGGCGACACAGTTCATGCAAGCTTCCTTTTCACTGCTGCACCAAATTGTTTGTGTGACTAATAATAAAGAACATAATTCTGACAAACAATTATTTGTAATCAAAAGCCATGTGCTGACTGTGTTCTGATCACTCTCAATCATCTTAAAATGACTGACTGCAGCTTCTGATGATTTATTCTGAGTTCTGCTAACACATGTGAGGCTGAATTATAAACAGCAGGTTTATTTGAATTCATTTTCGTCTTGTGAATCTTTGTATACTGACAGCAGGTTGTTGATTAATGATTAAGTCTGAACACTACAAGCCAAATGCTGTTGCTTATGTCAGTGAAATATTATCTTCTCAAAGTTAAGTTTAAAATCTGACGGAGCCTCTTTTAATATCTATCTTTTTGCCTGTATTTCATTTGTAGCCTCATATTTTCCAACCTCATGACATGTGGTTTGGAGGAGCTGACTTCACAAGGATCTACATTTTGGAGGCTTAATTCAAACTTGCCTGTGTGCAGACACAGTGTGAGAGCAGACTTATGAGGATTAGGACCAGGATGTAGCCGGGTTCACTGCTGTGTTTGAGCTGAAACAGTGGAACAGAAGGAGCAGTGACATCAGTGAGAGGGACTCTGTGGCTCTGGGCCCTGACAGCTCCTTCAGCTCATGTGGAGTCACAGAGGAGCAGGCTTATGTGGTGAAGTTCTGTGGAATAAAGAGCATCACAGTTTTTCCCTTAATGCCTAGTGCATTGAAACTCCTTTTGTTTTACATTATTCTTGATTGTTGTTTAGATGGTTTTCATACATTTAGATATTGTTGGTCATAGCAGTTTATCTTTTTTTTAAATTGCAATTGGTTAAACTTCCCTAAGTGTATTTGTCCATTAAAGGAACATTTTCCATAATTAAAAATATTACAAATCCATACATATTTAATAAGTCAAAATATTTCCAAATATTTTCTCCCCATTTATAATGTACATTTTTCTCTTTTCTATTTTACTGTTGAACCAGATCATTTTATCATTAAAACACATGAGAGTTTAATGGGTGATAGTTCAATGAGTGCCTCTGCGATACAAAAAACAGCTGAAAGTCTCATGTTTTGGTTCTTGTCCAGCCTGTTTCCTGCTCCTGACCCCAGAGGTCACGGCTGTAATGAGAATGTTATCAGGTTACTTTCTCTTTACTTTGTCCTGTCCCATAGCAGACTGCACTCTTATATTTAAATACGAGTGTACATTTAAGGACAAACTGTATGTATGCAGAATGACAGTGATGTATGGAGAAGGTGGACCAACAAACACATCCCAGATTATGATCAGCATAAACACACGCTCAGCGTTTAGCCTGAGCGCTGCTCTAAAACTGCGATACATCACTGTCTGCTCTGGTACCACAGTAGTTGTGCCACACCTCTGTAATCTGCACAGTGTAAACAACTTTCACAACACACAGAAAAAAATATATTCTCTTAAATTGAATCATACCAGAATGTATGTGTTAGTAAACAACTAAATACCAGTTATTTTTTGTTGATTGTTATTTTTACTGGTAGTGAACATCATGTAGGCTACATGTAGAAAGAAGACTTTGGAGTCTACCTGTTTCTAGAATCGATTTTTTAATACTCTGAGTTCTGTCACATAAAACACTATGTAACAGAATAAAATATGATGATAATAATAATAATAAAATATGAAACCAACCCCCTTAACATAAAAGTATGTAATTTTGTCAAACTAAGGAAGTGTGTTCCCTTAACGTCGAGCAGACATGTGTGGACTGTTACAAGAACGTCTGTTTTATATCCAATACAAGACTGCCACCTACTGGGGAGGCATGGTATTCTGATAAATATATCAGTTAAATGTCTGGCGGTGCACGTAGCTATAATGAGTACGTGTTTATCTAAAGACTCAAGAGTATAATACTAGAAACCTCATGACAGGATATTATTATTACCAGAATGCATCAGGGATGGACATGGCCTAAAATGTCACTAGACTGTCAATAGACTATCCATGGAGTTCAGCTTCCGTAACTGAAGGAGAAATTAAATTCTGTCAACTGGATAAAAGTTTGTTTGTTTGTTTGTTTGTTTGATTGATTGTTTGTTTATTTTGTCCAGTTGGAAGAATTGAATTTCTCCTATGTCATGGACGACTGAGGGATTTCAGGAACGATCCAGGCTCCTTATTATAAGCAAGACTTTGAGGACCACGTTCAAAATATATAGGCCTTTCTTTTAATTGCTCTTTTAAATTGTTATTAAGTAATCATTCTGAAATCCATTCATAGCCTCTATTCTCTGTATCCAAATACATTTTATAAGATAGCTATTAACCTAAACAATTTAATCACAAAACATATACTAAATGAGAAAGGAATGAAACTAGTCAGGTTCAAAAGTAGGGCCTATAAAGATGGCCTACATGATGCTCCCATGTGGAAGGCTATTTGAAGAAAACTGCTGACACAGCTTTCCTATTAAGAACCACCTAAAAAGCTGTCCTCATTTCACTCACAAGTGAACACTATTCTTGAGACCAACACAGTTTCTTGGCCCCCTGCACTGATCCTCAGAGCTTCATGTAATAGATAGACCTAAATTACTGCCTCAGTCTAAGCCCAACACTGCATGTACAAAAAGAATGACACATTCGCCACAGAAACACATTCAAATGTTTCATTTACTTGCCAATTAACAACAATTAGTCACTAAACCTGATCAAGAGAGTCTTCAAGAGATGCTTCATTACCAAATTAACTCAAGCTAAATATTTGTCCTGAGTGAGGCAAACTCAAATGTTCATTGTAAAACCAAAATGCCCACTTCCAATTATTGTGGACATGATGTGTCTGCCGTGTACCTTTGGTTAACATCAAGTGTGCTCCACTAGTATGCCTGTAGGACTTGTGTAAAGTTTCCTTGGCGTCTAAATAAATTGTACCAATTCTTAGATGTCAATTGAGCTTTAACAATGAAAGTGCGCGCGGCAGCGGGCAGCTCCAGTAGCTCGCCGTGATCGTATAGTGGTTAGTACTCTGCGTTGTGGCCGCAGCAACCCCGGTTCGAATCCGGGTCACGGCAGAGGAAATCTGTCTGATGAGCTCCTTTTGTGATTACTTAGTGTGAGCTTGTGTTTGCTGTCGAGAGTTTTATATGTTTCTGTTAAATGGAAATTCTAACTGCGTAGATGTTATAACATTTATATTTCTCTCTCATCAGACAATAATGATGGTGATACAGAAGTTGGCCCGCAGGGGGCAGTCACACATCACAGAAGGTACTTTAAAAAAAACAAAAAAACAAAAAAACATTAACACGTGTAGGAGCTGTATTGCGACTATGGTCGTTAGACCCTCCAAAATCACTAGATGCCTAAATATGATAGACTATTTGAAGCTACAACAGTCCATGGTACGTGTATTATCCTTATCTTTAACATATGGCCTAGGTATTTGTAAGACTGATGATTTCTTTTGTTGGTTGATTTTGACGTCAGTCTGAGAGGACCCGCCCCCTCTCAATATGCAGCAGCAGTGAAAGCTGAAAGATAATCCGCCTGGATCAGACGCACAGCGGGGCTCGGATGCTTCTTGGATCTGGATGAGGGCAACACACGGATTGTATTAAAGATAGTCTCTTCTCTGGATACAATGTTACTGGTAATCGTAGCTGAACCGCCTGCCAAAAGTCTTTTATGGGAGCCGAGAATGAAGTCTATCGGACATCCACAGTTGTGCCGCTGTTGAGTTCATTGTTGTGGTCCATGGTCCTAGACGCAGCGCCCCGGGGAAGATGTTGAGCCGATTTAAAAGCGGCAGCATCAAGAATCTGGAGCGGGAATACAGCTGCACCGTGAGACTGTTGGACGACACCGAATACACATGCACCATCCAGGTCAGTCAGGCACCTGTGAGCAGCTTTATGCACTGAACTGTGTAAATGGGCCGAGGAAGACGCGTGATGTTGTCTGTAGCATTTTGAGCAGTAGCTATTTCCTAAACTTGCATGTGATTACGTTGCTTGCAGTTTTTCTTAAAGCTCTTCTATCAATTATGCACAAAGGTGTCGTGTTGCCAACTGTGTCTGTGTCAAGACAGTCTGTCACTAAACAAATAGCCCAAAGTGTTTAAACAAAACCACTTTTCACAAATGAAAATATGTTAAATGACCTTTCTTCTATACTAACCCATCAGCCTCTGATGGAGCTTTCCATAAGTGCTCCAAAGTTAAAGCTTTACTGTTTTGATGCTCTTATGACTCTGATACGGCTGTGCACTGTACAGCTGTGAGGCTGAGGACCCCCTGGAGGCTGGACCACCCACAAGAACTATAAAAAGAACAAAATGTAGTACTTTGGCCATATTATAAGGGTCCAAAATCTCTCCCACCATAGTCTGGAGGATCCTGTTGATGGCAAGAGGATGAGAGGGAGTTAAACGAGGCGATGGTGTGATGACATCAAGACTGGACCCCCCTTCTCCCATCACATATGAGAATGGAAACAGGAGAGACACTTGCTTAATTTTACAGTATTGGGAAACTGACAAATCTGAAGTGATGGTGATGAGTAATGATCTGCAGGTCTGGCATGAATGTGTCCTCTCCTCTTTGTCTGAGGTGCATTTGTTCTTGTTAAAACCCACATGGTTTTTGTGGGAAAGTTCTGGGAAAGGGTCAACGTGTGTACTCGAGCATATTTGGGACCTGCTGTCTCCCTGGTGATTCCAGTTACTGTGGATTCACAGGGCAAACCAGACCAGCGTTTAGTTTGTCAGTGAAGAATATGTGTTGTGTCTTCATGTGTCAGGATTCCACAGACATGTGCTGTAACCTGTCACCAACAGTGTCTGAGATCTGGAGCCATTTACTTGATAAATCCAATATTATCTCCTTTCATGGCAGCAATGATTTCTGTTAGGGTTGAGTGCCAAAGTTTATCCTTTTAAAAAGCCCACTCACTTGTCTGAGCATTATTCTATGAATATTTACTGAAAAAAACTTTCAGCAAAATTATACTCACACATTAGAATGGATAACCTCATATGGAGTCTATTTTATTCAAACATCTCTTTTTATGCATGAGTCATAGTTTACATTATGTTCACTGATAATGGCAATAAACCCTCTCAGATTCAGATATGGTTTTATCTCACCTGCCTCCCAAAAAATACTGAATATTTTTTTATTGAGAGCAGAAGCTACAGTGTTGTGAGTCTTCTTCTCCCATCACACACTCTGAACATGAGGCACGTGGATGCTCCCTCTGGTCTCTGGTGGCTCTGCGGAGCTTTGACCGGGTTGTCATCATACAGTTGGGATTATTTTCTCCTACAAGATGTTTATTACGTAACCATGGCTAGAGGATTATGGGATATGAGCAGTTTTCAGAAACGTTCTGCAAGTTGTCACTAATCCATAGGCTTTGAAATATGGTCAATGCTGCAGAAAATCACAGGGAAGTAAGTTTTATTTCCAAAATAAAAAACAACAACAGATTTTTAATTACACATAATATTGGTGAAAATGGTGATGAGGGAAAAGTATCAAGGAGGTGGGGTTTTATGCTTTTATTGAACTTCTCCAAATGTTCTTTTAATGGCTCTTCCGTTTTTGCATACTCTAAAAGCTGGTGCTCTGTGTCAACAGCAGTGTTGGGAAGGTTACTTTTAGAATGTAATCCCCTACAGATTACATATTACACACCCCAAAATGTAATTTGTAACGTAATCCATTAAATTACTTAAAGTGAGTAACGTAATCTGATTACTTTGGATTACTTGATATTGTCATGTTTTTTTAAACGACATGAATGTAGCAACCACATCCTCAAAATTCGTGTTTGTTGTCTTCAATTTGTCTGAGCCCAAGTCTCCATGAATAAGCAACTGTTTGCTGTAGAGAAACAAAGACCACGAGATCTTAATATAAGAGGTTTTGTCTGTTAAAAGACAGTAACAAGATCAGCCTTTCCTTAACCAGATTAAAAAATATTATTGATAGAGAAATTATATGAGATCACCTTAAATTATGTCAACCTACTGTTAGGTGTCATGTTGTTTAGACCTGGTTTAGTCCTGGTTTAGTCCTGATTTTTAGACCTGGTTAGACCAGGTCTTTAGTTCTGGTTTAGTCGTGGTTTAGTCCTAGTTTAAACCTGGTTTAGTCCTGGGTTAGTCCTGGTTTAGTCCTGGTGTTAGTTCTGGTTTAGAGGCGCACAGGAGGAAGTGCGGTTTACGCGAGAAAACACGGTCCACACGCGGCGCACGAGACGGCGGTGTCCGCGCTGTAACTACGGAAGGAGAAGTGGTCCGCGGTTTCTCAGGTTGATGACGATGATGAAGGTGTTTGTGTGTGTTTGTGTGTGTTTTTGTGTGTGTGTCCCCTCATGTGGCAGGTCACTATAGGACAGTAGTGCAGATATATTATGAGTCTATGCAGGTTGTTTTCACCAGTGCCAGTTAGCTCCGGTTTCACATTTAAGTTGTAGGCGATTTTATATTTTTTTTTTTAATATATATATCTCACATCGGGAGAAGAATTTCCAAGACACAAATGCGTTTTTACCAATGCACTGCTGCTTCCACTGTGTGACTGACACCGCCAACTTTAACATGACGTTTACATCGCTCTTATTGCGCGCGTTCTGTTTGGGTTTCCGGCAATGAGTGAAATTACCGAAATAAAAAAATAAATAAATGGGATGTAGCACAAAATGTGAAAACAGGAAAATACCGCCTTGTAATCCACTTATTTCAGCAAAGTAACTGTAATCCAATTACCACTCATTGAAACAGTAACTGTAACGGAATACAGTTACTCATAATTTGTACTCTGATTACGTAACGGCGGTACATGTAATCCGTTACTCCCCAACACTGGTCAACAGTGGTTAGTAATCGACACGTGTGCGCTGTTGGAAACTCAGTAGTCATGTTACATGGCTCATTGCATTGACAGAGTCCTTGCTCTTATCATAGTTTTAATTCACTGATTTTATCCCATCTCCAGCTTGCTGTAGGATCCTGGCACTGGTCTCAGCTGAGACAATAAAGGCCTGCAGCTCTCACACTGCTTTTATGTCATGTCCACGATGAGCATCTGACAGTTTCTCAGACTAGAAAGACTCAGAAACAAACATTGAAATCTGTTATCCTCTCCTCCATTCTTATAATTTATTTCTTTGTCATACTGCTCTCTTGGACTTGCTGTCCCACCTTAGAGCTGTGTCAGTGCAGCCCCCTGTCCCGTCCCCAGGGCCAAACAAAGGACTCTTTGAGCCACGCTCCTTTGTGTCGGTGGGAGAGCCCTGCGTGCAGCTCTGTGCTTAAACAGACCCACACATTTGCTCTTGGTCTACTGGTATTGGCCCTGTATGTTAGCACGGAAGCTTAGTCTTAAACAGAGTTAGACTGGTAAAAAAATATATTTAATTATTTTTTTTCTATACCTTTTTACACCTATTACAGAATAGAACTAAACATAATGTCACTAATCTCTTAGTGTTGAAATACATGCCATTTTCAAAAATAATGTATTCTTTCAAAGGATATAGTGGAAACTGATGGTGAAATGATTAGCCCTCTGAGTGATCACTCCTCAGTTCTTTGGGTAAAAGTGACAAACCCACAGATACATCAGATATAATGTAGTTCAAAAAGGGTGTGTGTTGAATATTCCTTTGCTCTGTCCACAGCGTGATGCTAAGGGACAGTACTTGTTTGACTTGATTTGCCTCCACCTCAACCTGTTGGAGAAAGACTACTTTGGCATCAGATACGTGGACCCAGACAAACAGCGGGTGAGACACTCCACGCACACACATACACACACCATTCACACACTACAGCATCTGTTAAACACCTGCTCACAAAGAATAGTACAGCCATACTGTTGTACCTTCTATTAATCAATATGTGTATGCACGTTTTGGAAAAATAACAATTCTGGATTAGTGCAATCTGAAGATTTCAACAGTCCTTTTTTTACTCTGTAAACCTTACCTTACCTTTTTCACTTGTTTCTGGGAGAGTTCTTCCCTTCTGTGTTGGAGCCGCTGTGGGAGGGCTGATTTTCACCTCCGACGCCTCACACTTCAAACCACACACGCTGAAGGCCAGCATGACGACATCATCTGTAAAAACCAGAGATGAGAGAGAAACATGGAAAGGAACATATCCATTGCCATGTTAAGAGTCTCAGCATGTACTGTTAAGAAAGGCAAATAAAAAGGGGCTCTATGATGATGATTTTCCACTCCCAAAATCATACATGCCTCAGCTCTACAGGACTGGAGCAGCTGCACTTTAATCTTACTGAACCTGTCTCTGTAGTGGCAACAGAAACACAGGACAACAACAGCAACTATTTATTAAACATATTAGTTATTTCCATTTTCATCAGTCAGGCATCAAAACATATAGTCGATTTCAAACAAGAAAGATTTAGATGGTATTTGACTAGATTAGATCCAACATGACTTTCTAAATGTACAATGTTGTCAGGCTGTCAACTGCCAAATGTAATTCATCTTTTGTTTTTCTAACAGCACTGGTTGGAATTCCCAAAATCTATTGCAAAGCAGATGAAATGTAAGTTCAATTAAGTTTAAACAGTCTGTGCTATTCTCTATTATGTTGTTAACTGTAGTCTGAGCAGTAACTTTTAAAGAATAATATTATAAGTGTAAGGAGCATAAGTAGCCCACATTTCCATCGTTTCTCTCTGACCTGATTCTCTTTGGCTCCTGCAGCTCAGCCTCCATTCACCATGTGTCTCAGAGTCAAGTTCTACCCCCCGGAGCCCGCTGCTCTCAAAGAGGAGATCAGCCGGTACAAGACCACACATTCCTCTACACCTTATCTGCAAATTTCATAGTTCATTTCATCCTTGAAGGGATTTACACTACAATTTCCTGAAAAATATTACTACAGAAAATGTGACTAGTTTTCCTAAAGAAAACAAGTTTGCTCATACATGGTCAGTGGTGGATGAAGTTCTGTTATTTAAGTAAAAGTACAAATACAGGGGCAAAAAGTTACTCAAGAGAAAGTAAAAGGATCACATGAAAAATCTACTTAAGTAAAAATATTAAAGTAACTGTTTTAGTAAGTACTTACAGAGTAAAAAGTTAAAGGTTTTGAAGATATTTTTGGAACAATTAAAGAATGAAATGTAGTGATCTTCATAAAGAATTTGGCTGATTTTAAGTGATTTAATTGATTTCTTATTTTTTCTAGTTATTTTTGTGTATTTAGTTTGCTCAAAGTTGGAACAGAAACTCTAATTAAATATGTTAAAAATGACACAGCCATTTCAGCAGGTCTCACACCATAAAGAAAAGTACTTTTTACTTTTCAGCCCAGATCTAAAATGTAGTGGAGTAGAAAGTATAGATACTTGTGGTACACAAATGTACAAATGTGTTAAAGTAAAAGTAAGTATCCACTGTAAAATTTATTCGAGTAAAGTAGATACCTAAAATTTGTACTTAAGTATTGCACTTTTACTTTTGCACTTTTACTTTTACCTTCCATCACTGTACATGTTTTAAAAACTAAGTTCCAGCTGCCGGTCCATCAGTGGATTGCAAATAAATCTACATAATTAAATCCAATAAAAACTCTGTATGACTTTTCCAACTACAGCGGTGAACCTGCACTACTTCACGCTCTAACCTCTAAACATGCTTTTGCAGATACCTCGTCTTCCTCCAAATCAAGAGAGACCTGTACCACGGCCGGCTGCTGTGTAAAAGCTCAGAGGCAGCCTCATTAGCGGCCCACATCCTTCAGGGTAACAGGACTCTGCAGTCATTTAAGCTCCTCAAGCTGTCTGTGAGATTACGGTTTATTATGACAAAATGAGCACTCACACAGGCTCTTCATGGGTCTGTGGTTATTTGGAAATTGTAGAACTACAGTCTAAGTTCATGACAGTGATCAGAAGAATATTTTGAAAATGTATTTAGTTATAGAATACTGAATACCTGGATTATTAATTTATTTATTTTGTAATGTATTCTGATACATGGTCCAATCAGAGTACTATATTCTGAATACTTTATCACTGATCAGAGCAGTGTTTTATATTTTCATCACTTATTCTGTCCAGTTTGAAGCCTAAATTAAGTGATCAAATACCACTCAATGTAAAAGTAACTGTACCGGAATACAGTTACTCAAAATTAGTATTCAGAATAGTGTATATGTGCTAGTACTCAGTTACTTCTCAGCACTGTCTGTGAGCAGTGCTTTGTTGGAGACTTCCACTCTGCTTTTATGTACCAATGCCTTACTCTCAGTTCTCATTCTGGTGATGTGTTTAGTGTTGATTGTTTTCTCTCACAGCGGAAATAGGGGATTATGACCCCGGAAAACATCCTGATGGCTACAGCTCCAAATTCCAGTTCTTCCCCAAACACTCGGAGAGACTGGAGCGGCGCATTGCAGAGATCCACAAAACTGAACTCTGGTTTGTGCCCCATCCACCATCAGCCCAGCAGCAGCCATTTCAGATTATTAATAATATAAATAAATATTGATCTATAATTCTTCTCTCTTAGTGAGGTTCAAATTGAGCTGATGGAAACAGGTTTTATGTACCATATGACTCTGCTTCCCTCTAGTGGCTATTTCACTTTCAAGACACTTTGTCATCTTTGTTTACAGTATTTCCAAAAAATTTGAGCTTCTTTGTTAACATTTTGAAATAATTTAAATACACTATTCAGACCTACTACCTGCCTACCTACTACCTACATGTTGAGAAGAACCTGTTCCTTTGATATAACTCAACCTTACTATAGAAGAGTCTCATCAATAATAGCTGCTCTCCTATTCTCTTAGTGGGCAGACGCCTGAAACGTCAGAGAGAAACTTTCTGATGAAAGCCCAGATGTTGGAGACCTACGGTGTGGATCCACATCCCTGTCTGGTAGGAGGATGCTCCCCAAGAACTGCCTTCTGCCCACAAACCCTTATTTAATCTCACTAAACGTTTGACTGTTTTTAGGACCTGTACGGAAATCCAGCCTTCCTCGCCTTCACTCCTTTTGGCTTTGTGGTTCTTCAGGGAAATAAGAGAGTTCACTTTCTCAAGTGGTAAACTTTGAAACTCTATCAACAATTTATGATATACTGGACACAAATAACAGATTTTTTTATCTTATAACTGTCTCCTCAGTTTATTCTTACATTAATTTTGTCATAACGTTGCTATAACATTGCAAACAGTAACTATATTTATTTTGATTGTATTTTGCCTTTGTACTCCAAATCAGAAAGGTCTTCTAGTTTGTAGTTCCTCTTTCACCATTATTTTGCAATTTATATAAAAAGGATATTAACGGAGCACATTATTCATACCGTAACACTGGTACTGTGGTTTATCATAAGTCTGTCTGGACAGGAGCGAAGTGACCAAGCTGAAGTTTGAAGGGAAGACGTTCCATTTGTATGCTCATCAGAATGAGGTGAGCCACAGGGACAGTGGACTCTCTCTCATTTGGCTGCAGCGCTGTGTTCACTGTGTGTTTTTCACCTAGGACAGAAAGAGCATATTGACATACTTCGCCCCCACTCCAGAGGCCTGTAAACATCTGTGGAAATGTGGAGTGGAGCACCAGGCCTTTTACAAGTGAGCACAGCTTATACTATTGAGAGATTTTATCTGGTTCTAGTCAATAGTGTCTCTTTGCATGTGTCATATGTAGAGAGATAATATACATTCTTAAAAGGGCCAATTCTCTATTGACAATAAGTCACAACATTTTATTTATTTTACATATTTTCCACAAAACTGCATGAGTTTTTAATATTGATATTGTAAGAAGTATTGTAGTACATTTGGATCACACATTATCCAATTATACATTAGATAGTATTATATGCTTTACAAAACATGACCGTGTCCCCTCTACTTGTGTCCTTGCTCAGGCTGGAGAGGTCCAGTCAGGTCCGAACTGTGTCCAGTAGTAATCTGTTTTTCAAAGGAAGCCGCTTTCGATACAGGTAATTATAAATACTTTGTCTCTCCTGCTATTTTTCTCCCTCTCCTTGCTTGTTTGGCTCAAAGCATGTGTTATTTAGAATAGGTTAAGATATAATTTTGGATAAAATGCTCCTCCTGAAAGGATGGGTGAAATGCTGAGAAAATAATAAAGCACTACTACTACTACTACAAACAAACAAATAAATAAATAAATAAAACATCAGAGAGCTTTTAATGATCTCGAAACAAACTGGTTCTAAAAAAAATGGGCATATGCACTGACACTTTGTTCATAATACTGCAATACTAATGTTGTGTGCTGTTCTCTTTGACAGTGGACGAGTGGCTAAAGAGGTGATGGAGCAGAGTGCCAAAATAAAGCGTGATCCTCCAGAAATACACAGGTACACAGGTGTAGGAGCAGTTTAAACCTCTTTTTAAAATAATATTATATAAATTATAATGCATTTTCTGTGTTCAGACCTGGCCTAGTGCCAAGTAGAAGTTGCCCTTCCATCACACATGGGCCTCGCCTCAGCAGTGTGCCTCGAACAAGAAGGAGGGCTGTACACATATCCATCATGGAGGGTAAGAGAACGATTTACAACAAGTTAAAAATATCTACAATATAGGATGAAGACAACAATTGTAATCAGTTGACCATGACATCATTATTTTGTATGGCATTCACAAGACATGAGTGCATGCCCACTCACTGTGGAGTATAAACTAGAGGCATTTGGCTGTGTCACTGAGGGTCTGCTGAGGGGCCAGGTGTGCGTGTCACTCATTCAGACAGAAGACTGAGAAAGCTGCTATCTGAGCCTCCTCCCCCAGTGTGGAGGCTGAATATCTTGGAGTGGTATAAATACTCCAACCTAAAATAGCAGGGTCTTCCTCTCCATGTATGTAGCTGCCATGGGCGGGACTAAGCCAGGACTAATCGTCTCAGTCTAGTGCTAGTATAGCACGCAGCCACTTGACCTGTGCTCTGTAGCATTTTCCGACCTAATTAATATTTTTGTGGGAGACTGCGGCCTGGACCGGCCTTTGGGACCATCAGGAAGGATTTACACACTTTGCAGCCATGGTCAAGTGTTTGATCCGCATCACCACCCGGGTGAATGTGCACCTGCGCATGATCAACCACTGCTATCGTGATGTGAAGGTCCGAGTGCTGAGCCTGGGGCCCCGTCTGCTGGGGAAGGCTCTGGGGGTCCTCCCCCTGTACCCTGCCCTGACGGGGCAAGAGTCGGTCGGTACAACCCCCCTCCCCAGCACCCCACTACCATACTCTCAGCCTGTCCAGGCCAGCAGTGCTCCAGGTAAAGTCCTAACTAAACTGTTATTTATGCAGTGGTTTGAGGTGGGGATGTGGCCATGGAGACTTTGAGGTGTCACTTCAACTTTATGTACATTATAAATTAAGATTTGTGAAAAAGCAGTTGAATGCTTTTTTCATTTCTGTTAACGTTTAAGTTTAAATAGCAAGGTAATCGAAATGTGACATTACAAACTAATACGAAACTGTTACATTATCAGAGCACAGGGATCACTTCTAATGACAGGTTTGAGAATAAGACACTGACACTGAATACTTGTAACTGCAGGCTATGATCAGTGATAAGGTATAAAGAAGAGTTAAACCAATGTGAAAGTACTTCTTTAAGCATTGAATGTTGTTTTTCTAACACAAAGAACAAACAAAATGAATGTATGTATGAATAATTTACTTATAACGTGGTCTCTAAGTCTAAGGCCATTGCAGCACCAGTACAGTGTTTGGGAGACAGTTGATGGCTCCATTCAGATGATGGCTCTTATCTACGTAATTATTAATGAATAAAGCTACAGACTGGCTGCAAGATATTTTTCTAAAATTTGATAAACTATCCACAAAAATCTAATGTGAATCAGTTTGTAAAAATTATTTGCTGTATTTACTTATAGTACTATTTTAATATTTTATATATAGGGGAACTCTGGCTCTTGCCTTGATATGTCCCACTCTAAAATGAGTTCTACACAAGTCTGGAACAAATCAGGTCGAAGTGTCACAACAGTGGAGAAATCTAACTAAGAAGTCTAAGTCCAGATGAGAGACTAGATTAAACATCTGCCCCATCCACAAATTCCCTCTGCGTGTTTTTCAAAAATAGTCTGTAATAGGCTGGAGTACACCCGTCGCCATGTTTGTTGTGGCTGGTTTGGGTGCTTCATTTTTGGCTCCACCCCAAACCACAACGCTGCCCTGTGATTGGTCTGAATGGGAGCCTGCCAAAATAGATTCTCATGAGTCTGTGAACTGACAAATATTGTGAGAATTGTATTCAATAAAATTGAATTTTTTCTCTTCACTCTTGTGCAGGTCTGGAGTCATTGCGGGACAGTGCCCACTCCACTCCGGTGCGTTCAGTGTCCCACGGAGACTCGTTTATCCCGCGCTCTCGAAGCCACGCCTCTGACGGCAGTGATGGTTTGGCTGTTATTTCAGACCAGTCCTACAGCCCTTCAGAGAGTGTCCCACCCACCCCTGTGTCTGAACACAGCATGGACCCTTCTGTCTCCCGCCACATTAATGGAGCCCCCTGCAGCATTGAGGAGGAGCGGGAGTCTGAGGCTGGGACCCCGACCTCTGGGGAGGGTCCTGTGCTGGGAGAGGAGGCAGGAGCTGAAGAGGAGAAGCCTGTTCTCAGTGAAGTGGAACAGGCCAATAAGTTTGTACTCAGTGTGTTGCGCCTCCTGGTGGTCACCATCAGCCTGTTGCTCGTCTTGCTGCTGCTCCTCATCGTCCTCACAGAGTCAGACCTGGACATTGGTTTCCTGCGGGACATTCGCCAAACACCTGAATTCCAGCAGTTCCATCACGAGTACTTTTGTCCCCTGCGGCGCTGGGCAGCCTGTAAGCTGCGCTGGGCGGGCTCTCTGCTCATTAAGGACGTGTGAAACTGTTTGATCGAGACATTGGACTCTAATTAAAACTTGTCAAGGCCTGGACCCTCCAATGAAACTGGAGGATGTGGCCTCCTCTTTTAGCCCTACTGGTTATTTATGGAGTTATCTCATCTCATTTCAGGTATTTTTTTTTTACTCAAATATCTGGATTTACAGTTTCTTTGAAGAAACTTTTTTTTGCATCTTTAGATGTTATTTATTTTTTATTGTAATATTTAAAATTGTGTATATTTGTTTGGGAGTAATATAATTGTCTGAATGTGAAAGAGTAAGTTGATTAATGGATGCGTTGAGTTGCAGTAAGTCAGTGAGTGTTAGAAACGTTTGGGCCATAAATCAATAAGAATATCTTTTATCACAGGCTTTTATGTGTAAACAGATCTGTTATCTGATTTTGTACCCATCTGTGATGCACTGTAATCTCTCTAAATGATGTTAGCCTCAGAGCCCATCTGTTACTGCTGTTACTGTTACAGTGGTGTACAACTGTGACGTAGGACTCAGCTGAGTAGATATCAGCATGAAGAGGAAATGGGACGAAGTGAGAAGTGGAGATGGACAGGGTTGATGATTTTGGAGACATGGCTGTTGTTTTTAATGTGGGTTGCTTAGTAGTGCAATGTTATTTTGATAATATTTGAAATAGTTGGCCTTATGAGTGGCAGTAGTGCCAGACGCAGCTTGAAGGATTCACAGCACAACTAAACATTTAGATGTGTGTCCTACTTAGTGGGTAAAAAGATGTTTACTCTATTTGAATGTCTGTTTTTAGAAGCTAATTCTGGTAATTTAGTAGATGGGTGGTCATTAGGTGAGATGTCATAGCCTCAGGGGACAGTTCTAATAATGAGGATCTTGTTATGTGCACATTTTACTCAAGAAATGTCAATTATCTTTATGACGTGATTAATGGGCAATAACTTTTTTTTAAATGATGCTCACTTTTCAGTGAGACACAAATATTTTTTTTAATCCAGATTTGTAAAACAATATTTTCACACAGAATCAAGGAGGATTTGTATCAATCAACAATTTAATTAAACAAATTTCATTTCACCATTTCTGTGGTTTATTGGTTTGTTAAGAGGAACAATAATATCACAACTGGGTTTAAAATGTGTTGAGCAGCTGCGGACGCCTGCTGGTACAAGCCAGTTTTACTTTTAGAACACACTGGGTTCTGTCTCAGTGTTAATCGTCATGGTAACAGGCTCCCTGGACCAGAGAGGGGTAAGGGAGTCTGTTACCATGACAACGGTTTGGAGGTTTCACGACTCAGTCCCTGGTTCGAGCGTCAGAATGTAAACATTACGCCAACAATAATTTCATCTTTTTCAGAGATTAATACAGCAAGGAAATAATCAAATAGTATTGTTAAGGTAAGTTAATGTTCACATAAATTAGTACATTTGTTTTGCTTTACATTTTGTTGTCATTTGTTTGTATAATCTGCCCTTTGTGCATTGCTTATTCCTCTTCCTATCTGTGGTCTGCCCCATTCCAAATAAACACGACACATATAGGCAATGGTTGGTGGGCACTGTTTTCAAATGTGCCATTATGCAACGCTGGGCTGTGCAAAAAAAACCACACACACTATGGAATACCACATCCAGTACCAGGCACCTCAATAACATAACACGTCTCAATCAGTCCCTTAATTTTTCATGTTTCAATGGAAATATATTTTGGTTGCAAAATTATCACAGACACAATTCACCAATACTCATTTAAATCTCACTACTATAAAACAAAAATGATATTATTTCAGGTCATGTGGATAATGAGCTAATTCAAATTTTAAATTGTAATTTCCAAAATAGTCCAGTCTCCACAGAATTTGAATTGTGCAGTTTAACACTTTTAACATTCGGTATAATCCAAGCAAAGATTTTTCACTTATCAGGACCCCACTTTGGGAACCACTGATCTAAGCAAGTGCCTGGTGTGGTCCAGATGAACCATTAAACCTGTGTTAACTTTAAAAAGCAATACATACATACACATAAATGTCCCTGAGTGCAATAATGATTCAAGTCATGCCAAACTTAAATTTTGGTTTATTAGATAGAAAAATATACAATAACCCAATATAAATGAAATGTACAAACTCAATTATATACATAAATAGAACATTATTGAACAGACCCTACGTGAAACGGGAAAATGCAGGTTTTAAAAATGGTCGTGCACCAGTCTGTGGAGTGGGGATTGCTAAAAAGCCGGGTCTTTTAACTCCGGCTTCTCCAGTCGAGGCCCGGGACCCCCCTCTGGAGCTGGAATATGACTTGTTACTGCTGCTGCTGCTGTAGCTGTAGCCACGACTGGATCCATATGAAGAAAATGCACACAAGAGAGAGAGTTAATTATTTTGCTGTCTAATTATGGAAACTCATACACTTGAGAGTAAAGCATTACAGAAATAAATTGAAACGGGATAAAAAAAAAAATAAAAAATGTACTAGCAAAATTAGATTAGTATGTATTTTTATTCATACATATACTGTTAAAAGGAAATAATAGACAGATGACTTTTTCTTTCCCAGAAGGCAGATGCAGACAGTAAAGAGAACAGAACCCACCCTTTGGAGTTTCCACCAGAGCTGTTGTATCCTTTTCGCTTCTTGGAGTATTTGAAGAACGGAGCCTTTTTCCTCTTTTGGCCCTGCCCAGCTTTTTTACCAAAGTAACTGGAGGACTCTGCGTCCTCGTCCTGATCATCGTCGTCATAGTTAAAGTTGGAGTTTGTGCGTCCTCGACTCGCATCTATCCATCCATCTCCATCAGCATTTGTCTGTTCCTCTGCTTTAAATAGAAAATAAAAATAACGTGAAATTGACAATCTCTGCTGAATTTAAGGTAAAGGTAGCTTGAAAACTTCGGCTTCATGACATCACAGGATGGAACAGAGCATTTTCTGCTTTGGAGAAGAAAACTGACTATAATAATACAGGGTTACTCAAACAATGAAACAAAACATAACTCCAGGTATGTGTTTGAGGAGGTAACAACATTATAAAATGGCTTAAAGTTCACAAGAGTCAATGTAAAGTACAATAGGACCTTAAGAGTAGTACACTTAATTGTACTTAACTGGGCAAATGGGCCTTAGGAATCAGATTTAATATTGAAATAGAAAAGTCACAGACCTCATCTTGAACTGTATTTTTGTAATCATTGGCACAAGTTTCAACACATTTCTGTTTTTACCCTGATTGTTGAGATGTTTTAGTTCTCGAGTTTAAACTTCTATCAATCTGTATGTTTTATATGGTGAAAATGATTATTATTACATTTCTTTTAATAGGAAAAAGTTCACAAATATTGCATATAATAGGATGTTGAAACTCTCAATTGGATGACCAAAAAATAAAGAAAGGTCAGTCCCTACTGCCTAATTATTTATGGTACCTCTACAAGGCAACGTCATATAATAATTGGTGCGGCTTTCTGCACATTTTTTCCAATGTGTTTTTTTTTTTATTACAAATGGCAAACTGCATACAGTACAAACTAACTTAACCTAATTGCTAAGAGTGCACACATAGGGTAATATTTCATGAGTGTTTGAGGAAATGTGTCATACCAGGAAGCTGCCACTCTGAGTACTTCTGTAGAACTTGAATGATTTCAGCTCCATATTTCTCCAGTTTATCTTCAGTTACACCGTCAATCTGAAGGAGGACTTCTGGATCAGAGGAGAGCTTCTCTGTGGAAACATCAGAAAGTGCAACAGTTATAAAATGTTATTTAGACCAGACCAGTCTTAAATGTTATTATAATGTGTATTCATATTTTGGTCAGTGAACAATAAGAATAATAATTATTAATTTTATTTATATAGCGTTTTTCAGGTCACTCAAAGACAAAACAAATATTAAAATAAATAAATTAAAGTTAATCACCAGAAATCCTTTTGAGTGCAGCTGTAGAGAAGATGTTGTAATAGTGAATGCTGAAGGCTTTGCCCAGTTCCTTGCACAGATCAGTCAGCTCCTTCAGACACTGCTCCACCATCTCTTCTCTCTTGGACACACTCTTTGTCACAGCGGCCTTCTGTCTTCTCATGCTGGACACACTCTCAGTCTCATAGAAGTCCACCTGAAGACCATAGAAAAAGTTAAGAGGAACAGTCTCCAGTCTCCACACTTTGTTTTTCAAAAGATGCATAACTTTCAGAAGGGAAAACAAATCTGAAAGTATTGCAAATCCATATAGATTTGTGATTTTATGTATAAAAAAAGAAGATTCTGTTCATAGTTCTCATTCCAAATACTTCTCGATCAGGTTTATACTTAAAAAAATACCAAAAAAATACAGTATCAAATCTGACACCGTAATTGCACTTATTGAACATGCAATATATTGTGCAGCCCTACTTAACAGCATTTGCAAATGCTTTTAACTCGTATACTATTAATTAGAATGGCGAACTGAGAGCAGACACTCACCTGCATGTGTCCGGACAGCACGTTCATGGCCTTCGGACCAGCCGATATATAAGCCACAGCCTGGCCCCCGTTGGTGATGTAGAGATCTTCAACCAAGATGTTATCTAGAACTAGTTTCTTGAACAGACGGTCCGCATTGTGCTTGGAGTAAGCTGCTCCCTTTGCAAACAGCCCTGACTGGATTTTAGCAGCTTTAGCACCTGAAAGAGTATTTATGTAAACCAGTGCTTTTTGTTCATTTGATCAGCATTAGGTCATAGATCAAGCAATCCACGGCACACAAAAACTGCCTTTTCATTAGATTTCAAAATTCCATTACCTACGAAAATGTCCACCAGCATGTTCAGAGTCAGCCGAGTTTGCCCTGAGGTTTTGCCGTATCTCTGTCCAACTTTTTCACATTTCTCCTGGACAAATCTCACAATGTGCTTCACATCTTCAGTCACATTTCTAACCTTGAATTGCTGAAAAGGCATACATCATTATAGCTATAGCTTTACAAATGTAATGGCATACTCCTATTAAAGTCCTGCATTCTCACATTTGGTCTGGTGCAGTTGTCACAGCTCACATCGGGGTGCTCTTTACAGAAGTTCCTGTTGAAGTTCAGTTCCCCAAAATAAGCCAACAGCTGAATTCTGCGGCACTCCATGGCATTTTCACAGAACTGAACCATGCTCTGGAGGTTGTTGTAATGAGTAGCCTTGGAATGTCTGTCTCCTTCCCTGTCCACTAATTAAAACACAGAAACATAAATATTACATCCAAGTCCTTTATTTTCTCATTTCTTTTATGAATCTGTGGCTTACTGCCGATGATCCTCTTGATGCGGTGGACATCAGCATACGAGTAGAACAGAATACAGTGGGAAATTTCTCCATCTCTGCCTGCTCTTCCTGACTCCTGATAGTAGCCCTCCATAGATTTGGGTAGACTGGCATGGATGACGTAGCGCACATCAGGCTTATCGATACCCATCCCGAAGGCAATGGTGGCACAGATGACCTAACACAAAAGAGATGAAGATATGGTGTTTAAAAGGAGTCTACATGTGCAATTTACAAATAAATAAAAAAGCAGCATAAATAATAGCTTTAAAGAAGACCTTTATCTATAATCTATGATATCCGTGGATCATTATGTTATAAATTCCACATTTTACATTGCAACATTGATCTAGAACAACTTAACAAAAGGAACAAGTACGCTGACTTCTATGTTAGAAAAAGGCGGTGCCCAATGGGAGCAGACGTCGCCACAAACATCATCACAACACCAAACAGGCATCTCCTGTGTATAACTACAGATCATGCTAGAGAGCAGCACATTTTTTTTCCATTTGTACCAAAATGACTACCCGTTTTTGCGTGATGAAGACCTAGTGCGTTGCCCGGTTTGTACTAATAAGTGAAACATTTTGCAAGTAAGACTGTGTGCGGGATTTTTCTCTCTCTGCTCTATCTACCAAAATGACTACAAAACGCTACCAAATCCTGCACGTATCACACATCAAAAATAAAACTGGAGAACAAAGTTAGTACAGAACAGTGGGCATATCCCGGTGCCAGTGAAAACAGGGACTTATCTGCAATATGGTGTCTTGAAGTGTGAAACATGCACAAATTACTCCAAATACAACTTGAGGTGAGTAAATGTTGAGAGGAAACAACTATAATGTGGGTAAAAGCATGATTTGCATAATAGGTCTCCTTTACCAGCACATCTCACCTGGCAGCCATCTTGATTGATCCACTTGGTTTGCACATACTCTCTGTCTCCATCACTGAGGCCTGCGTGATACGACAGAGCCATGATCCCTGCTCTCTGTAAACTCTCCGCCAGAGCGTCACAGTCATTCCGGGACAGGCAGTACACAATCCCTGAATCACCTACAATACAAAGTAAAATCAATCAGCAGCTCGTGTTTCATTAAAAGGTTTTCTGTTAAACCTGCGGAGAAATATCTAAGAGAACAGCACTCTAATTAATCAAAGGCACTTTTGACAAACTCACGTGGATAATGCTTCTTGATCCAGTCTATGCAGTCTTCATCCACCTTTTTGGGCTTCTTGGGCAGGACAGAATACTTGAGATTGGTTCGGTTGAAACTCATCGTAAACCTGTATTTAAATGTATACGTGAAACAGTAATAATTATTGAACAATGTGTCAGTAATCCTAAATAAAGAGACTTACACTTGTGGCTTGGTCATGTTCAGCTGGTTCAGAATGTCTTTCTGGACTCGAGGAGTGGCAGTAGCTGTAAGAGCCATCATAGGAACGTTGGGGAATTTTATACGCAGCTCATGTAACCGTTTGTAATCCGGACGGAAGTCATGGCCCCACTAAAAAAATACAAGATGTTAATTTTAAGCTCTTAATGGTGCATTGTGTAACTTTTCTGAAAGGGTTTGTCAAATGCTTTTCTCCATGGAAATGTTATTGCTTTGTCTGGAATCTTTCACAGTATGGCATTAAACCTTTCTACCTTCATGAGGACTAAAACAGACCAAGTTACAGATCAGAATTCCTGTTTTTGTAGGTATTTTTGATCTATGAAACCACCTGTAATTGATTAAATGTAAGGCAGAGCTGTTTAATGTCATACTGTGGAACATTCCTGGCAGCAATGACATATCCATAGAAACAAGCAGGTGAAGGATCCCCAACCAAAAAGTTACATAGAGCACCTTCAAGTAAGTTAAGTTTTATTAATAATTTATGTACAAACCTGGCTGACACAGTGAGCTTCGTCAATAACAAACCGATTCAACAGCGCTCGTTCATAAAGGTTTTGAAAAGTGGAAATCAACTTGTTACTAGCGCTGACCTTGGAGAAAAGAAAACAGTCTTTATTTCATTTTAACATTTTAATCATATTCACCTAATGTTATTTCAATAAACAAAGAAAACACTGGCTTCTGAGCTTTTATGACTAGACTGATAAAACAAAGCCAAAGTGAAAGTATACATGTATTTTTTATTACCTTCTCAGGAGTAACATAAAGCAACTTCACAATAGGATCTTTTCTGGACAGCTGCATGTAGATCCTTGATGCTTCACTTTCATTTTTGTCTCCACTTAAGCTTGTGGCAGGAATCTAAAACAGCATCATTTTCAAATTATGTGATTATGGGTCCTTTAGACACTTTCTCCTTTGCACCATTGTATTATATTGCGTATTATACAACTTGTATTATATTGTAGCGTAGTAAAATGATGCTTACGTCCAAAGTTGTCAACTTCTGAACCTGGTCTACAATGAGAGATTTGAGAGGGGAGATGACAACTGTGACCCCTGGTGAGACACAGGCCGGGAGCTGATAGCACAGACTTTTACCACCACCTACAAACAAAAACAAAACAAAAACATTGGCATTTATGCTCTTGCAGTTACATTGGGGCTTTGTAAATAATAATTACTAACCGGTGGGCATCAGAATAAAAGTGTCTTCACCCAGAAGAGTAGCGTTGATGGACTCCAGTTGGTTGAACCTGAACTGGTGAAGCCCAAACCTTTTGTGAAAGATTTTCATCATTTCTTGAGAATGGGAGAAGTTGTAGCCTCTAAACCGGTCATGGGCTGGGTTTCTGAAAGCGGGTTCTATATTAAAAAAAAAAGAAAATGTACACAATTTACACAACATTGACTCTTTTGAGACTGAAGTCATGTTGTTACCTCATCAAAAACATACCTGGAGTTGTGTTTGGTCTACATTGCTAAAGCTCAAAATGCTACAAGTATTTACCATGTGTGAATGAAACAAAACAAAATAACTCCAAGCATGTTTTAATGTGGTAACAACATTATAACAGATCAGAAAATAGAGTAATATGGGTCCTTTAAAAATAATAGGAAATCCAAGCCTCTTAATTAGGTCTTAAATAAATCAGCAAAAAAGAAAGCATTATGCAAAAACCACAGGAAACATTTTTTTACCTGGAGAAAATATTTTAGCCTGCTTCGGTGGTGGAGTTGGTGTGGGGGCTTTTTTGTCCCATGAGGCCTTGCTTGCACTGCCCTCTTTAATACTATTTACAGGTCTAGAACTGAGGCCAGACACAGAGGAGCTTGGTGGTTCATCAAAATATTCTGGTATGTCCGAGTCATTCAGATCATCGATGTCGAAGTCGTCATCTCCAAAATCATCATGCATAAAGCTATCCATCTCTGACTCTGTCCCTTTTCCATTGCTCTGTGTGACACCTGAAGGCTTCTTGGGAGTAAAGAAGAGATCAGGATCTTCTCTAAATCTATGCTGGACTTCTTGGGGAAAGTCTGCGTTGAGGGCCTGTACGTAGATGGAGAATCACATATGATTTCTTCTTCAACAAATGCTGGTCTTTTGTTTTTGTTCTGTGGAGGTTTGGCTTCAATAACAGTGTCAGAAGGATCAGAGTCGTAGTCTACGCAGATGACAGATGATCTCTTAAACTGGACAGGAGCAGAGTTTACAGGTTTGCTGACTGGAGATGTGTCTTTGAAGCTGGACTCAGAGAGCACAGTACTGTCTGGCTGTTGGGCCCTGTGAAATGTGTCCCGACCACCTCCAGTTGCAATAATTCTTTTCCTGAAAAATACACAAAAAAAGTTAGGCTGAGGTATGCGGAAAAGTGATATCTTACTGATGCCTGGAAAATGTCCTTCAATATGTTTATCAGTTTGTCAATGTTTTCATAGCTAATACATATCTCACATATCTCTCATGATTATTGGTTTGTATGAATGTAAAATTAGAATATCTAGTATATGGAGCTCAACAGTGACCGCATGCTCCAATTCTTTTTCAGCCTTTAAAAAAAAAAATCTAATATTAAGAGTTAAAAGACATAACAGAGGTTAATCAGCTACGTGCTAATATTCATATCCATATACATAATATCCATAACACAGCACAAGATTCTGCGAAATGCTTCAATAACTTAGCAATTTATAACATTTCTATAAAATAAAATTAAAAGGTATTGTGGTCATTAGATACCACATAACTGATTAGCCCAGAGAAAGGTTTAAGACTTTTATTTATTTTATTTTTTCAGAAAGTCTACGTGAAAAATGAATGAGAAATTTAATTCCGCAATCAGGGGTGGCGGTCACTGTTGAGCTCCAATGTCAACAATTAAATCTATTAAAAATGATTTTTTTCATTTTGTTTTATACTTGAAAGCTGTCCCAAACCACTTACAGGCATGTTTTATTTTTGATTCACTTTAAAAATATTGTCTGAAAGCTGTTACTGACATGATGCAATAATCAAGGCATATATTGTTGTCAATATCTATACATTGCTCATCTTATGACATCAATGGCCTTTAATAATCAAAGCATATTCTTTACAACATGAGAGCCCTCCACTTACAAAGGCTGTAAAACATGATTGCAATCCGAACACAGCACACTCTCACTCACACGCTTCATGCACCCACCTCAGCGCCCTCTTAATCAGCAGCTCATTACCACAGGACAGAGCGATGAGTTCATGCTCTGGGATGGTGTCCACCAGGGAACAAATGCATTCCATAATACTGTACAGCTCGTCGTCTGTGGGGAAAAATATGTTAGAGATGCAATGAACATGATCATAGGAACATATTATAGGTACTGAAGTATCTACTGACTCTGGTCTTTTGAGTGGTCTTCAGTGGGTTCTGACACAACTGAACTTTGTCTTTTAGGCTGAACTGATTCAAATCCAGTTTTAACAACATCCTTGGGTCTGCTGGGGAAAAGAGGTTTTGTGAGTGTGTACAATATTTCAAAACATTGTTATAATTGGCTCATGTGTAGGTTCAAGGTCCCCCGCATAACTTAGAGGGTCCACCACCTGCTTGTATGGAGATGTCGTTGCTTTGGGCTGGAATGTTCTACTAATAAACCCATGTATCTCCAAGGAGATGTCACCAACCCAAGTTACAGGTCAGATCTGTGAAGAGGCGACCCCAGTGACTGTATAAATAAATGTTTGTATGGTAATTTTTTCAGTTAAATACCTGTAAAAAATGCGAGATAAGTGTTTAATGCTATACTGGGTAACTTTCCAGGCAAAGGAACAACATCTCCATGAAGACAAGCAAGTGACAAACCAGAGACGTTGCGTATAGAACCTTTAAAACCAATAAGAACCTTTCAGATGTCTTCGTGACATCAGGCAGGATTTTCACAGGACTTGGAGATGGAGCTACGTAATCCAAATGGTCGTCAGTCTCAGAGTCGTCCATGACTTCGATAACTTTAGCTGCAGCAGGTTTACTCGTATTGTCTAAAGACGACAAAAGTACAGGTATTTAAGACAGTGTTCAGATACTAACAGCTTACTAATTTATTATATGTTGTTTAAAATGTTTGGATGCAGTGTAATTTTTAACCAAATGCAATAATCTGCTAGTTATATTAATAAACTTATCTCATCTGTTAGAATTGCACTGAGCTGAGTAAATGCCTTCTATCTAACCTTTCACTGCATCACAACTTTTTAACAGAATTGGAATTCTATGGTATAAAAAATACCTGATACAGCCACAGTGGGCTCTGGCATATTATCGTTGTCCTCTTCACTTTCGCTCACAACAGGCTTACGAACACCAGGACGTGGTTTTGTCTTTTTCACTGGAGAATCAATCACATAATCGAAAAGGTCCTCAGTAACACTGAGAGCTGGCGAGACTGGTTCCTCGTCCATTTTGGCAGCAGAATTCAGGGCTTTTGTCGTATCGGGTGGTGTGACAGACCTCTGTCTTTCCAGTTCAGTTAAGGCTGAAACAGAAGGCCGTTTTTGTCCCGACACTTCAGGGCTGTTCTTTGATTTCGCAGGAGGTTCAAAATCGTCAATATCATCCCAGTCATCCATCGGGAATGAAGCATCAAGAAGTGAGGGCTGAGGGTCACTTGATTTAACAGGAACAGTGGGCTGTAACGGTGATGGAGTGGAGTCCAACTTGCTTTTTGGAAAGAAGTTGTTGATTTTGGCATTTTGAGACTTCTCAATCTTTAAAGAAAAAGCAAGAACACACTTAGATTCTAAATTAACATGGGTGTTTATTTTAACAAAACAGGAAAGCATTATTACCTTTGCTGGTATTTCCACTTTTGTTGTTCCTGTCGAGGACTTCTTCTTGAAACTAAAACTTCTAAATGTATATGAAAAAAAAAACAAGATTTAAATAACAAGATACTAATTATACAATTAATGCACTGAATGTATACTGCCTTTCAACACACTCAAATTGCTTTACAGTGCATTATTCATAGTAATTCACCCCAAACTGGATGGTGGTAACGTCCTAATGTAGCCACAACTGCCCTTAGGTAGACTGATAGTAGCCAGTCTGTCAATCTGCGGCATCACTGCTCTGACCACCACCAACACTTATGCACAAGCCAGTTTCATACTAGTCAAAGTGGGTTAAGTGTCTTGCATAAGGACAGAACAGACACTGTCACCACACTGCATATTCTGTTGTTGAGCTTTCCTTTGAGCTGGACGTGTTCATAACCAGTGCTTCATTGGAATTATTTGACCATGGTTGCTTGACAACATTTGTATCTGCACTCACCATAGACTGTATAACACATTTAAGTAATAGGCTGTAGTATCTTTATTGCAGCACATCTCACTCATTTGAGCTGCTCTACTGTGTCCACTGTTTTCAATGTTTCTGTTGTAGCATGTAAGTAAATAACATTAGCTAGATTTGGCTTTATTCTACTTTTCTGACAGTGAGAGAAGCTCCTGAACAAATCAATACCAGGACTAGGGTGGCCAGAATCCAAAGTCCAAAATCAGAAACTGGAACACTCTCAGTTTGTGGTGATTGGTAATAATACAATTGTAATTAAGTGTGTAATTAGGGAGAATTGTTCTGCACTCGGCCATTCAGTATAGTCATTTTTTGTGTGTTTTGGTCATTTTTAAGCAACTATTCTATATTTTACCTCAACAAATGTCAATGCATGCCTCTCTTTACTGTCGGCAGGTATCAAATTGGTCAAAAATAGGGACACCTGAGTAATTTCTTGTATAAAACTGGGACAAATCACTGGTTTTGTTTAAATCTGCTGGGACAGGGGACACGGGGCTCAAAGCTGAGACTGTCCTGGGTAAATAGAGATGTTTGGTCACCTTAACCAGAACAAAACATTGCCTATAACTTGAGCATGCAATAAGTGGATCACAAAAACTCACCCCGCTTTAGGTTTGGACAAAGACAGCTTGCTCTGGTTCGCACTGCTGTGTTTTGCGAGTTGTTCTTGTAAGTTATTTTGAGGTATCCCCGCCATGGCCCGGGCTGTGTGCTAAAGCTGCTGTAGCTTTAGCTCTCTTCACAAACCCCGGGTGTTTCTGTTAGCATAGCGCGCGCTCCAGAGCACACGCGACAGTGACACGGGGCTTAACCGCGTGCGCCCGTCCTCAGGTCTGCGAATATTTATCCATTCACAACGAAACTCTAAACTCCATCATTTATTCTTCTGAGAGACACGATGGGCATAATCCTGAAAACAACAGAAACAAGAATTTGCGCCTAATCAATAAGACACCGGCTGATTGGTCAAAGGAAGGAAGTCTGTGCATTCTGGGTAATGTAGTCGTTCATATTAAATCACTGCCGATTTGGGGTTTGTATCTCTTTGGTAAGTCGTAATAGAAATTTAACAGCCATTTGTGAAAAAAAAAAAAAAAAAAAAAACAACTACTACTAATACTACTACTACTACTACTAATAATAATAATAATACCAAAAAAATTTAAGAAATATATATACTACTACTACTACTACTACTACTACTACTACTACTACTACTACTATTACTACTACTAATAATAATAATACATTTTAAGAAATATGTACTACTACTAATAATCATCATCATCATCATCATCATAATAATCATAATAATCATAATAACGCAACAACTTTAGTTTCTTTAGTAAACTAAATGTAAATTTGTATTTTATATATATTTAAAAAATAATAATAATAAAATAAAATCCCATTTTAGGTGCATGGCTGTTTGCGAGCCTGGGGCAATTTGAACAATAGGCTATTAGGTATTCATTTTGACTTATGCCTAAATGTCCTGAATTTATTTATTTATTTATTTATTTTTGTCTTATGCGTTTAGTTTTAGGAACCTTGCAGCTGCTTTTATGAACACAAGGGGGCGATGTTCCACTATACCTGCATTGTCTAAGGCAAACACTACCACAGGACTAACTGTTCCATCACAACAAAACATCCAAAGGCACCTCCACTGAGTGTGGTGAAGGGCACATGATGTCCACCTCAAGCATCCTCGGTCGTCTTAAGGACCCTTTGCCCAGCCTCATTTGTTTGCAATTTTTGAAGGCACACTTGATTATTGAAAAGATCTAAGAATATCTGGCCATAATCATATTTAAGGTCAGGACTACCTTACCTGAACTGATAAAGAGGAAAATAAAGTGTAACAGCCCTTAGCTAACACCAATACCTCATTAAGGATGATGACATAACAGCGCATTGAATCTTACACCTCATGTTTTTAGCCTAGTCATTCAATAGGCAGTTATAAAATGCTCTCTCACATGATAACACGTTATAAAAAACAAACATAAAAACATTCAGAATCCTTCTTATGTTACATAATGTTTGTTAGGAGGAGCCCAGCCTTTTGTGCCCATTCTCTTGGTAACTATGGAAACGATGTGTATTTTAATTAAAGACTTGATATTTGATTCTAGGGTAATCATATTTTTTTCAGAGAGATTTGAGGAGATGTTTACCGCCTCATTTCTGGAAAGGTCACTCAGGGTTTACAGCGAGAGTGCGCACATGCACAATTATCCATGGATCAACAATAATAACGGCTTCAGTAAATGACAGCCTTTATTTCTGTCCGTTTTGGAGCTGGATGACGACGCTTGGCGGAAGGTAAAGGGGGAGGTGTCCCTTGATCTCAGTTCGTCAATACATCCAAAGCTCTCTCTTTAATTAGACACATCTCCATAACGACAACATCCAAAAGAAAAGAGGAGAAGAAGACGAAGAATGGTTGAGAGTGGACTGTGTGAGAACCACTTCTCCTCAGAGAATTGAGCACTGACGGAAACAGGGCAGAATCATTTGTACCCCTCTGAACCCCAGGTATTTCTGTGTGAACAGGATCCTGCTCATAACAAAGTTGCCAGAAAGCACGGCACTAATGTTTGAATCGGAGTATATGTTTAATACAGAAGCAAGTCACCAAACTAATCAACAATAGTAATAGTAATAGTAGTAGTAAACATGACGATAGACAAATAAATAAATAAATAAATCAACAATAACAAAATGCAGTTTGTAAACTCCAAAATACATTTTCGTCATTTAAGCAAACAGTCCTTTCCCACCAACATTCCAACTTGTCTATTTTTCCAAAGGTGGTGCTCCATTTTGTGCTATAAGACCTTTGTTATTTGAAAATTAGCCTATGGAATCACCTGCTGCACTCTCCCAAATATGCAACTCATTTATGGTCCAACAGCTAATTAACAGTTCAAACTGAACCATGTTGAGTTTGGAACACTCCACTGGGACTGGATGGTCTGGATCAGCAAACAGAGGGGTCCAACGAGACAGGGCTTGTCAGAGCTGGTTGTCTCTCAGTTACTATGGTTCGATACGAAGTGCTGTGGGTAATCACTGCACACTAAGACGTCACAGTCTTACGTAGGAGAGGAATCTATATGGCGCTGAAAGGGGTACATCTGGGCGTAGACCAGAAAAACTAGTCCCATTTTAGGCATTCATGACCCCCAGATAAAAAGCTGTATAATATTTGTTTAATAGTGAAATTGACATCAACAAATCACAAAGAGATACTGGTTTAATGTTAGGGTTTCTACAAGGTTTTGTCACCATGGGGGTCAGAACCTTCAGATGCCTTCTCCCTCTTAACCTATAGACTCCACTCTTCAAATTCCAAAATTTCTCACAAATACCTTGAAAATCATGCTGAGCAAGCTTGCCTTTCCACAGTAACATCATCTTCTTGACTCCAGATAGATACGATAAATACCAAACTGTAGAATATTCCAAGTAAAACACATTTGCATAGAGGTCATATATTAGGCAAAATTGACTCTTGTGAGCTTTTAGCCATGTTATATTGTTATTACCTCATCAAAAAACTTACCTGGAGTTTTGTTTGGTTTAATTCACACAAGTTTGAATAATCCTGCATTATTTGACTGTGTTCTCCAAAGCTCAAAATGTTCTGTTCCACCTCATGATGCCATAAAGCAGCTACATTTTACCTTTAGTTCAGGAGAGATATGAAATTCTAGGATTGAAATTATCTAAATGATTTCAGTGAAGGTGTGGTGAGTTTAAAAACACAGTGGAGCACCTCTTGTATTATCACATGACATCACAAGTTGTAACAGAGTGTTTTCTCTTTGAGAGAAGAACTCAACCTAAATACGCACAGATGAAATGAAGTGAAAGTGATTGGAACAAAGCACAACTCTGGGTATGTTTCTGATGAGGAAACAACATTATAACAGATCATAAACTAGTGTAATAACAGCCCTTTAGATGTTTAAACGTAATGAAACATGAAATACCAACAGACGTCCATAGGTAAACCATAGATTACAGCCTGGCTCAAGTTACACAGACTGATCAAATATAAGAGTCTGATTCTGCCCATCTACAGTGCACATCTGCCTTCGCCCAAAGCATGAATCACCTGACCTTTACAGCACACAACAGGTGAGCCAATGGAAAGGACCGGCCATTGTGATGAGGACACAGAAATAAACATAATAAACATCAATGTCTCAACTAAACAAACACTTGAGAAGAATATCCAAGAGGCCAAAATATGTTGTATTATTTGTTCTCCATCTCTATCATGATCAATAGTGGAAGAAATACTCAGTTTTGTTTCTTAAGGAATGGATTTCTGGAGCAAAAAACTACTATACAGTACTAAAAAGTATCACATGAAACTCTACTTAAGTACAGATACTGGAGCAAACAAATACTCAAGTGAAAGTAAAAGTATCTCTTGAAAAACCTACTTAAGTAACAGTATTAAAAATGTACTTAAAGAGTAAAAAGTAAAAGGATTTTGAGGTCTTATAAGGCTTCAAATGTAATGATTTTAATAAAGATTTGTTCAACAGAAACAATTGAATCAAACTTTTTTTTCTAGCAGTTTTAATTCAGCCTTTATAGCAGGACTCAATAAAAAAATACTTTTACTTTTCAGTCTAGTTTAAAAAAGTATAGGAGTAGAAAGTACAAATACCTTTTTTTCAAATGTAGTGAAGTAAAAGTAAAAAGAATCCACTTTAATTTATGCTTATTTACTTTAAAGTACAGATACTTTTACTTCCACTTTTACTTTGTTACTTTAAACCACTGATCCAGATGTATTACCTTCATGTGTTTCGACTGTAACTTGTATTTATCTGATGAACGACAAACATAATCACCTAAAAAGATCAAATGAATATTCCTAACCTGATTTTCTGCTCTTAGGTGTAAATTATTATTGAGACAATCACGATCACAAACCAGGACAGGTTCTTTGTTTTCTATGGTAGGCAACTCTATTGAGTGAACAAGGTCATTTTATGTCATGTGTCTATTATCGCGCTGCAATATAGAAACCCCTTGTGAATGAGGTGTGGTGGAGGTATTGTTTGCCTGTAGAGCTTGTTTACTATCTCCAAACTCCATTCAGATTAGATTAATGCTTAAGCTTGTGCTACGATGACGGCCTCACACCTAACAAAATCATTACCAACAGAAGAGGACTCATGAGCAGAGGATTAGAGTCTAGACCATCGACAGGAACACGGGGTCTATGCTGCTCTATAACAAACATGGATTTTTTTTAACATTCTGTACGAATGCACCAATATTGATCTCAGTCTCATGCATCAGATACACAGTAAGTGAACTCTTTTTTTTTCCTATACACAAGATTTGTTTGCGTTCTGACATAAATTCATTATCATAAATTAAACAAGTTTACAATTATAAATCTATACGCATAAAGTAAAAATGTTTAAACCAGGAGTCTCCAACCTTTTTACTGCGGTGAGCTACCTTTACAGAATGAAAATGCCAGAGAGCTACTGGTTTTAGGGGTAAATATAAGAGCCATAGATGAGGTATATTTAGATGCCCATAAAACATAAACCAACATAAACCATTATCCATAGTAGAGCACAAAATGGCATTTCATTAATCAAAACAGACTTATTCAGCACAATACATATAATTCAGAAATCCCTTGGCGAGCTACTTCGAAGGTGGAGAGCTAGCAGTAGCTCCCGAGCTGCAGGTTGGAGACCCTTGGCTTAAACAGTCAAATTAGTTGGAAAAATGCCTACACTCACTAACTGATTTTATTAGTACAACAGCACAACAACTAGTTAAAATCAGTAACACTGCGCCCCACCTCCTATAGGGCCTTCATTATAAAACATGTATTTAAAGATTTGATGTTATGACTTTACATCTGATGTGAATGCCCCACTGGAGGCACTTACACAGGTGTTTTCTCTTG